TCACCGGCTGGTGAGAGAGATCTTCAAGACGAGAGATATTGTGCCCCGTTTTTGGCCTGGGGCTGAGACTGAGATATTGGGAGGGGGATCATTGGGAGGGGGAGGAGAGGGGGCGGGGACGGGGGCATAGACGGGGGAGATCATTGGTTTTGTCGCCGTACCCCCACCATATTTACTAGTGGAGGGGCCAATGTACTTCCATTGGCATGAAATGTTAATTTTTGGCAATTGGTTGGAACATCTTCCGGGATGTTTTAACTTACAAAAAATTGATGTTGCCATTTTTTCTGACCATTTTCGGATACCTTAATCTTATTGTCCATAATATACACCAAAAACGGGTTAAAATGCACACAATATAGTGTTAGAAATAGGAGCTGAAGTATTGATTAAGTATCCATTTACCCCTTGTTTTTTTTAAATAATGCTTCTTATACTAAGTAACTACTCTGCGTGCGTTTTAAAGTCCTGTTAGTGTGTGGAGTATAAACAGCTGAATTTTCCTGTAAAATATCAACGTATTTTCGACTATTTATTAACATGACGTCTTTTGCTAGAACATTACATGTACATACACTCTTAGATCTTACAACAAACACATGTTCATCTCTAATGTTTATAAAGGATCGTGTTCATGGCGGACCATACCAGCAGTACAAACTGCAGTGTCAGAACTAAATTGAAGGATCATCCTCTTCATCATCGTCGTTACTCGAGCAACGTGAAAGGTTGGCATACAAATGCCTCGATGCCTCCAACTGTTGCGGCTGTCAGCTTGCAGGCAGCTCCCAACACAGCAAAGGCACAAAACACCTCAGCAGAACGCTAATTTAGTGTCTGCCAACAATCGAGCATGCCCGTCACCGCAAACTTGACCGTCTGCTCACCTCCAGTGAAAGCATGAAGGCCTGCATTTAAGGAGGCGCCGATCGGCATTGGCTATTATTGGTGCCAATTGTATTTCCATGTTTCTTAGCCCCAGTGCCACTCCAACCAAAGAAACAAAACAAATTCAACCAAAGAGCTGTTCATTGGATTAACATCGACGGAGGAAGAAGATAATTCCCCGAATTCCTGATGTCTCTCCAAATTCCAAATGTCATTGCCAGCCCAGCAGGGCACAGCAGTGGGCCTTTGTTAAGGCCGGCGCTGACAGTAATATCTGCTAACTTTGAGGGGATATGGCCAACCAAAGACTACCTTATTGCCAATATCTGCAAGAACACCAGGTGCGGTGTCCTTTACCAGCAAGAAATGCACCATGGTTCCAACAACAAGAAATGCACCATGGTCCCACCAACAGACCAAAAATTCACGGTATGACACTGACAATGATGAGCGCCCCTTCGAGAAGTATGGGAGTGCGTTTTTTGGGGGGAGGGGTAAAAACTGGGACTGTCATCCAGTCAACTTCCATATCTGATGACCAGAACATCAAAGTCCTGAATACTGAGCTAAGGTGGAGTAGCAACATCTGTCTACAAACCATCCGGAAGCCCCTTCCTAATGCCACCGCCACCATCCACAAACATTCCAAGCCATTCCAATTCCATAATTATCGGGGATTTAATAGCCACAGCAGCATCATTGGCTATCATTCCATCACACACGGCAACGCTTTTGAATCGCTGGCCGAAGCAAGTCAACTGAGCCTTATTCGGCCGAAGTCTTTCCACAGTTGAGGCTGGAGATAAATTTTCAACCCTGCTCTAGCCTTTGTGAGGCACAACATCGCCTCGCCTAGCAAGAAGATGGTCCTTGACCCCATTACAAAGACCCTATATCGCCCTATTGGAATCAAATTGACTGCTGCTGTCTCTCCTCAACAATTTCATTCCGCCGCCATTTTAATTTAGTAAGGCCAACTGGGAAGGCTTCACCAATAAGCTCAAACACCATCTATAGCTGAGATTGATCCAACTCCCGATAACTATGACACTGGTTTGTTGATGTAGTGGTGCAAGAACATCTCTAGGGGCTGCCGCACTGATTACATTCCAGGCTTAGCATCCCGAAGTGCTGAACTTTACAGGAAATACAAACGCCTGAGTGAAAACGAACCTCTTGCTGTCGATACAATCTCAGCTGGGACGGAATTAATAACAGCCATCAGAACAGCTTCAAAGCCTTTTGGCAAACCCTTGTGGTAACCACCATTATGGTCAAGAAGCCAATGGCCTCCAAGTCTGGCGTATAATAAAAAAGCTCAGCAATGACCGCACAGAGCCAAGTGAACAGCATTGTAACATGACCACCAACCAAATGGCCCACAACAAAATGGTAAAGTGCCACGTTCTCCTAAGCGACCGAAAACCCAAGCTCCGCCAGAAAGACCCGCCATCGACATTGGCTTCATCAAATCTGTAATATCCGTAGAGCAAAATGATGAACTAATACACGCAATAGGTGCCAGTATCAAGGGGGTGTTTTTATTACGAAATGTTGCACTGCGCATGCTCACAACTATATAAAGTAAATACATGTATGCATACATTACACTGCTCTCCCCTTTTTAAGTATTAAACCCAAATGCTTGTTCAGAATTTTCTTGTCATAATGGCTGCTATAAACAAGAGTTATTTATCCTTGAGCCCACTTTTTTTATGACTAAATGTACATTAAACCATGGAACAGTAGATTACAACTATATTTTTGTTTTGTAAACGCTACACATTTTCTTTTCACATGTAATGTACTTGGGTGATGAGTTGTTGGAAATAAACTGTTTCTCTTAAACTGCGTTTCAAACTGGCTCTTTTTTTTGTTTTTACAAATCTAACTTAACTACTGGTTTACGGATCCTACTTGATCGTCTGACAGTGTCAGGTTTAGGTGTTGATTCCACTGTAGACTTATCTGACTCTATTTTAGTACACTGACCTGGACTAGAGGAGTCTGCATCTTTGTCTGTACTAACTGAACCTTGTGTTTCAACTACTGTGGTATTTTCGAACTCACTTTCAGGTAAGTACTCAGGAGTTAAGAATTCGTGCTTAGGTGGTTCATCTCTAGCTGGAATCATTTGATCAACATGAACACTTCTGATTTTGTCCCCAACTTCAACTAAGTATCTTTTTGTTCCACACACTTCAACTATTTTACCAACATCCCATTTGTTTGCACTGGACTTGTTGGGAGGGCTAAGAACACGAACTTGCTCATCTGGCTTGAAGCTCCTCTCCTTTTTGTGGGAGTCAAAATGGCGCTTTTGACTTCTTTGTTTTTCCTCAACCCTTGAAGCCAAACTGGGTTGAAGTAGACTTAGGCGTGTTCTGAGCCTTCTCTTCATTAACAATTCTGCAGGTGAGTAACCCGTTGTAGTATGTGGCGTGGTTCGGTACTTCAGCAAGAAACTAGCCAAACGATGTTTCATACTGAGCTTCGAACTACCCTGCAAAACCTGTTTCTTGAGGGCTTCTTTGACAATTCTGACAGACCTTTCCGCTGCCCCATTTGAGGCTGGATGGTATGGGGGAACTAGTGTGTGTTTTACACCATGCTGCTGCATGAACTCTTTGAACAGTTCTGAACGAAACTGAGGCCCGTTATCAGAAACAAGTTCTTCAGGTAACCCATGACATGCAAATATGGATCTCAATTCATTTATGGTACGCTCAGTAGTAGTGCTTGACCCCATGTACTTAACCTCAATCCATTTGGAATGACTATCTACCAGTACCAAAATATGATCCTGATTCTTTTCACAAAAATCAACATGGACTCTTTGGAATGGTCTGCTAGGCCAGGACCAGGGATGCAATGGTGTTTTGGGTGTCTTGTTTCTACAATTTTGGCACACACTACATTTGCTCACCAATGATTCAATATCACTGTCAATACCAGGCCAATACACAGAACTTCTGGCAATTGACTTCATGCTGACTATGCCAGGGTGTTCGGCATGAAGTTCAGACATGATTTTGTTTCTCAAGGACTCAGGTACAACCACTCTATGACCCCACTTTATGCATCCCTGCTCACATGATAATTCATGGCGTCGATTATGGAAAGGCTTCAATTCTGTGCTCAATCCATTATCAACCTCACACCAACCATTCAATGTCTGTTCATAGACGGTCTTCAGCAAAGTGTCCTTTTGTGTCTCTGCTGCAATTTCTGTTGCAGTCACTGGAAAGTCTTCATCTACGACTTGCAGTGTGTAGACTGAGTTCTTACTTCCCATGTCAGAGTTCTCATGAGGCAACCGGGACAATGCATCTGCGACAGCATTGTCCTTGGAACGTCTGTACTCGACCTTGTAGTCATACTGGGATAGCAGGATTGCCCAGCGTTGCATCCTGGATGCTGCCATGGAAGGTACAGGTGACTTGTTACCAAGTATCGCTAGTAGCGGCTTGTGATCAGTCACGAGTGTGAATGGTCTGCCCAGAAGAAACTGGTGGAACTTCTTGATTCCAAACACTATGCTAAGTGCTTCCTTCTCTATCTGCGCATAGTTGCGTTCACTTGGTGATAGGGTGCGAGATGCAAAAGCGATGGGCTTTTCCTGTCCGTCATCCATGACATGGCAGATCACAGCACCCAGTCCATAGCTTGAAGCATCACAAGCAAGTTTCAACTCGCGTGTTGTGTCGTAGTGAACGAGGACTGTGTTGCTTGTCAAGTTTTCCTTGCAGATGTCATATGCGCGTTGTTGTTCCTTCTCCCATTTCCATTTCACATCTTTCTCTAGCAGATGATGTAGTGGTTTCAGCAACGTCGCGAGGTCTGGAAGGAATCGTGCATAATACTGCACCATACCGAGGAATGATCGTAGCTCTGACACGTTGTTGGGCTTTGGAGCATTCACTATGGCTTCGACTTTCGCCTGGACAGGATGAAGTCCATCCGCATTTACCTTGAGTCCAAGGTAAACCACCTCTGACCGCGCGAAGTCACACTTGCTTTGTCGCAGTTTCACATTGTGGCTGTCCAGTTTTGAGAGAACCTGTTCAAGGATGTCGAGGTGTTGCTCCATCCCTTCTGTTGCTATCAGCAGGTCATCCTGGTTGCACAAGCAATGAGGAATGCCTTGCAGCATTTTGTCCATGACAGACTGGAAGATCTTTGGGGATCTTCACACCGTAGGGCAGCTTTGTATACGAATACAAGCCCTTATGTGAGTTGATAGTCAGGAACGGTTGACTTTCCTTGTCAACGTTGAGTTGGGCGTATGCGTGTGACAAATCCAGTTTGGTGAAGACTCTTGCTCCGCTAAGTTCCGCATACAGATCTTGCGAGGTTGGTAAGGGATACTGTTCGTCGTCAACTGCTTGGTTGATTGTTACCTTGTAGTCACCACAGGGTCGAACGGTTTTGTCGGCTTTGGGCACGACCACAACTGGCGTTGCCCAGTCGCTCTGGTCTGTCTTCACGAGTACTCCATTGCGCTCCAACTTGTCAAGTTCCTCCTCCACTTGTTGTTTCAGTGCATATGGTACAGGCCTTGGTCGATAGTACACGGGTTGTGCATCTTGCTTAAGTCGAATATGTGCAGTATACCCTGTTATCCCTGTGTAGCTGTCCGGAAACATATCTGCATGTTTGCTTAGCAGATTGTCGAGGCGTGTTTTTGAGGAGTCGACACTGAAAATGTTTTCCAGTCTAGTTTTAGCTTACTCAGCCAGTCCTTTCCAAGAAGGGTTGGTCTATTGTTGTATCTGGCCACAATAATGTGCAGTGTTGCTAACTGACCATTGTGTTGAACTGTGCAGTTCATTTGTCCAAGGGTATCCAAGATTTCACCAGAGTAGGTTTTCAACTTAACCTTAGTCTGTGAAAGAGGTATCTGCTTGAACTTTGTTTCGTACAAGTCGTGGCTCATGACGGAGCAGTCTGCTGCTGTGTCGATGCGCATGGTAATAAGCTTGTCGTTAACCAGAAGTTGGGTTTGAAAATCCTTGCCTTGGCTGGCTGTGGTGTTATCTATGTCAGCCGCATAGATGGTGTACAACCCAAGTTCATCTCCATCTGGGTTCACCTCAAGGTTGTGAACTCCTTTCTGGTTTGGCCGCTTATTCCCCACAGGTTGCTTATATTCTGCTTTTGGCTTTGCTCGACATGCTGAGGCGATGTGGTCTTTCTTTTGGCAGTTGTAGCACTTGGCCGATTTGAACTGACACGACTGGGGCGAGTGATTACCGTTGCAACGATAACAACTGGTTGCACTGGCCTCCCCACCATGTTTTTGTCTTGGTTTGGCCCATTTTGGTTTGGCCACTGGGACTGCTTTTTGACTGTGAACAGCAGCTGGAATCTGTGGTGGACGAAACTCGCGAGCATTCTTTGATGCCATTTCCATTGTGGTCGCGATCTTGCATGCTTTCTCAAATGTGAGATCTGGATTGTTCAGGAGTTTGGACTGAATTCGTTCATCCACTAACCCGCAGACAAATCTATCCCGTAATGCGCGGTTGAGAAAGGTTCCAAAGTTACAGTGCAAAGTTAACTTTTTCAAGGCAACAATGTACTCACTGATTGTCTCATTCTGTTTCTGGTTTCTGGTTCCAAATGTGTAGCTTTCAGCAATTTCGAGAGGCTTTGGGTTGAAATGTTCCTTCAACTTGTCCACGATGTCTTTGAAGGGGACATCTTTTGCCTTCTTAGGAGCGAGGAGATTCACAACTGTGCCGTACACTGCAGGACCGACCTCCGTGAGCAGAATCGCTTTCATGCGTTCGCGAACGGCCTCATTTGTAGCGGCAACTGCCTCTCCTTCACCGCTGATTTCCATTATGTTGTTTGCCTTGCAGAACATGTCCACTCTCTCCATGTAAGAGCTGAACGGCTCCCTTGATTTATCGTAAGTGCCGAGGTTTCCGATGTAGCACGTTGACGCCGCCATTTTGTCCCGGTGCTCGCGTGACCCTTGACCCGTGCACAACGATCAGCGCGGTCGCGATCGAGGAATCAATGAATGAGTTCTCCCGTCGCACGCTGCCCACACACACGTGATGCGTGCACACACACGTACAGAAAACGCCGGTGTGCAAGAAAAGTTCACTGAATAAAACACTGTGAATGTTTTCAGTCTGACATCCCGGCCTCGTCGCCAATTTGTAATATCCGTAGAGCAAAATGATGAACTAATACACGCAATAGGTGCCAGTATCAAGGGGGTGTTTTTATTACGAAATGTTGCACTGCGCATGCTCACAACTATATAAAGTAAATACATGTATGTATACATTACAAAATCCATCTCTACTAATGAACTTGCGACTAATATAAATAAAGAACAGGAAAGCAACCAGACTGGATAACATTTTCACCGAATAATTGAAACATCTTGGACCAAACGCCTCAAATTGGTTACTCCAGCTCTTCAACACCTGCCTTGCCACACAAACAATACCTAAAGTGTGGCAAGAGTCGAAGGTCAACGCCCTCCTCAAACCCGGGAAATACCCACTGCAGGTCAAAACTTATCTTCCCAAATTCCTTCTAAGTCACATATTCAAGTTGCTGGAACATTCCCTCCTCAGCCGTCTTGCCTCTTCATTGAGAAACAACTGATACAGGAACAGGCAGGCAGGCAGGCAGGCTTTCCTCCAGACAAATCTACAACTGGACAGCTTCTTAATCTCACTCAGTACATTGAGGACGGCTTCCATCAGAAAAAATAGATCACCGGCACTGTCTTTGTTGATCTTACAGCTGCTTATAACACTGTTAACCATTGCCGACTCCTTCAGAAGATCCTGGACATGACGGCAGACCTGACTATTACCCAGATATAGTTACCGGTACCGAATCATGGTTAAACAGCACCATTACTAATGGAGAAATTTTCCCAACGTCTTACCAGATATTCAGAAAGGATAGGCAGACAGGGGATTCTCACGGTGGCGTCTTCCTCGCTATCAAAAATACACTGATTGCTAATGAAGAGATTGATCTCCAAACTGACTGTGAAGGAATATGGGCTAGCATACGTGTTCATGGTGTCTCGCCACTGTATGTAGGTGCTTTCTATCGTCCCCCTACATCGGATGTGGAGTACATAAAAAATCTGGATTCTGCCCTCAGTAAAATCCCTCGTAATGCATCAATTTGGTTACTTGGGCATTTTAATCTCCCTGATGTGAACTGGGATCAGTATAAATTCAACCCTGGAGGGTCTTACGCTGGACAGAGTAAGACCATGATTGAAATTGCCCTTGACAACAACTTGAGTCAACAAGTAAAGCAACCTACCAGACGTCATAACATACTGGACTTGTGCTTCACTAACTGCCCTTCCTTTGTGTAGAGTGCCAATGTCATCCAAGGTGTAAGCGACCATGAAGCGGTTGTTGTTAACATACTAGTTAAACTAAAATTAGTTCGCCCTGCAAGAAGGAAGATACTGCTGTATGCCAAGGCCAATTATGCTGCTTTTGCCGACTGTATTAAGGATTTTGACAACAAAATGACACCCGACTACGTTGCTCAGAAGGACGTTAATCAACTTGTGAATGAACTTGACCATGTCATTCAAGATTCCATCAGCAAATTTATTCCATCCAAAATGACATCAACCAAGTGGAAACTGCCTTGGATAAACCGTTCTGTCAAAAGGGACATATGTAAGAAGAAGCGCCTGTACAGGAAAGCTAGACAGCGTGATACACCCTCTGCATGGGACGCCTTCAAAAACACCGTAGAACGACTGACCGCAAAATTCGGAAAGCCAAGAAAGAATACATCCATGATGTCATTGGCTGTAGTCTCCAAAGCAACAACACAAAACCATTCTGGAATTTCATCAAAGCCCAAAGGCAGCAGATGTTTGGAATCTCCACATTGACTGATTCATCTGGTGCCACTGTGATCTCTCCGATTGACAAGGCTAATGTGCTAACAGTTTAGTTCAGTTTTCACAAACGAAAACCTGGACAGTTTCCCTACATTACCAGACTTGGACATACCCGACATGCCAGAAATTCAAACACATCCAATTGGGGTAGAGAAATTACTGAGAGATCTGAAACCAAGCAAAGCACCAGGACCTGATGCCATACCTCCTAGAATTTTGAAAGAGTGCGCCTCAGCTTTTGCACCACTTTATTCCAAGATCTTCCAAAAATCACTGGATACTGGATGTTTACCTAAAGCTTGGCTTGAAGCAAACGTCGCTCCACTTTACAAGAAAGGTGATAGGAAAAATCCTGGTAATTGCAGACCTGTGTCGTTGACGTCTATTCCATGTAAGATACTAGAACATATTTTATATCATCACATAATGATTCATCTCGACAAACATCAAGTACTGACGGATGCCCAACATGGTTTTCGCAGAGGTCGCTCTTGTGACACCCAGTTGGCTGCTGTGACCCACGACTTGGCTGGAATTCTTAACAATAAGAGTCAAGCTGACTTAATTGTAATGGACTTTAAGAAAGCATTTGACTCGGTGCCTCACCAACGTCTTTTGAGGAAACTCCACAACATCGGCATCAGGAACAATGCTCTGAAATGGATTGACTCATTTCTCACTCAACGTCACCAGCAAGTTGTTTTGGAGGGCACTTCTTCAAACAAGTTGAAGGTCATTTCTGGGGTTCCACAGGGGACAGTGCTGGGTCCTCTCCTGTTTTTAGTATACATTAACGATCTGCCACAGAACATCAAATCGCATGTGAGACTCTTTGCAGATGACTGTGTCATGTACCGGGAAATAAAAACTGCAGCAGACCCTTGCATTCTTCAACAGGACATCAACACACTTGAAAAATGGGGAAAAGATTGGCACATGTCATTCAATGCCTCCAAGTGTCACAGCATGAAGATCACCCACAAGAAGAACTCAGTCAACTCCAGTTATCACATGGGTAATGCCAAACTACTAGAGGTTAAACACCATCCCTACCTGGGGGTTGAACTCAGTAATGATCTCAAGTGGTCCACTCACATTGATCAGATCATCTCTAAAGCCAATCGTATGCTCGGGCTACTCAAGAGAAACATCCACCACTGCAACAGTAATACCAAGTCCATTGCGTATCAGACACTAGTCAGACCAAGGCTAGAATATTTTTCCGCCATTTGGGATCCTCATCATGCGTCGGATAAAAAGAAATTAGAAAGCATTCAACACAGAGCAGCTAGATTTGTTATGCAAGACTACAGCAGGGAGTCAAGCATCTCAGCAATGATGAATAAACTCAAATGGGACACTCTTCAAGATCGAAGGACCAAAGTTCGATTAGTCACACTCTACAAAGAAACCCATGGGCTTACACCGAGTAATATGGAAGATTATCTGAACATCGTCAACTCATCAAGGGGGGTTTCTACTAGACAGACCGGACCTTTCTCATATAGAGTCATCACCACAAATAAGGACTGCTTTCGTTACTCAATGTACCCAAAGACCATCCTAGAATGGAATCAACTTCACCCAAACATCCGCTCTTCACCTGACATTAAGACTTTCAAACTGGCTCTGGACAACATCAATATTCAAGACCTGGCTTCCAAAACCCAATCAAGAATTTAGTTGCTGCACACCTGACCCTGACCAACGTACGTCGACAACCTTCTAGGTGTTTGT